AAATTACACGTAAAAGCTATACATTGTAAAATCTAGTTGTAAAGACTGTCATTTATTTGTCACCACAGACTGGGAAATTATAAATTATGTGAAAAGTATCTCATTCATATCACGCTCAATGCTTTCCCTGGTATTTATGTATACTTTTGCACCTTTTCGTTGCTTTATATTGGTAGTTCTTTCTTCTGCCAGTTTACATCAGGATAGAAATGAAAAAAGCTAACAATTTATGTTGGAATAGAGTTAAAGCAGAAAAATAGTTGTAAGGAGGGTGACCTGAAGTCTGTTAATGATGTTCAACATTGACCACAGAGCTTAATGTTATAAGAGTGACTTATTCTTCAAAATGGTGATTTGTGGTTGTTGATATATGGACCAATGACCGATGATGTGCTTGTTAGTGACCGGGAAGGTTTCAATAATCACTCACTGACCGTTGGACAGCAAGGTTAGACTGGTCAATACATACATATTAATTCCTCTAAGCCTTCAATTTATCCACATCGGATGATAACGATTCATTTGCTTGAGATGATAACAGATTTGGTGCCGTAAGCTTGGGAAATCTCTGGATGTTTATGGAAATTCTCTACAAGTTTGGTAGGTTCTGTTTTTAATCTAACTACAAGAGAGATAGACTGATGATCAATTACTACTAGAGAATAACAGGTCTCCATGGTAACAGATATGACCAATTTACAACAAATACCCAATTGAGACTAATTTCCATGCTAGTCTTGCCACAGGCATAGTGCTGGTGTATACCGTCTATATTGATGATTATATTTATAGGACCCTGCTGTTCCATTAACTCTCCATATATTTATGCTGAAAATTTATTTGTATTCTACTCTTTTACAACCTTATATTGGTCTAATGAATTATATATCACAAAAGCCATAAACTGTATTGGCGCTTTTTGATTATAATTGTTTTCTCGAAAATTATTGACTTTTTACATTGAAAATGCTATTTAGTCAAAATTGTGATGTCATTATGTTGAAATCTTTTTTTAAATGTCTTTTTCCAATGGACATTTACAATCAGGATCCATTTTTTTTTTAATTAGTAATCAGTAATCAGTTATTAGTCAGATTGCAGTAAACTGTATCATTTCAATATATTTTGTAGTTGATTATAGATACATTACAAAATATACAATATTAATTCATGATAACAAAACTTGTCTGCAAATGGCTGCATTTTGGCAAAATACCTGTATGTACAAGTATCTGAAAAATCTGATCATAAAGGGGTTAATTATTGTATCATGGATGAGTTAATTACCATCCTACAATAACTCAAGAGGTAAGGATTGGGGGAGGGGTGGGCAGGGGAGGGGAGGTGGAGCAGAGGGGAGGGGGGCAGGGGAGGGGGGCAGTGCAGTGAAGGGGCTATCAATCAAGGACATTGAAATAAAACTGTTTGAAAACACTGTGGAAGAACAAATACTACAAATTTAATAATAATGGGAAATGAGCTCATTATATTATAGATATGGTATGTAAATCTAGCAGAGCATTAGGTCATATGATTTCATTCTTCTTTGGGAGTAAACCTAAATGTCTATCGATAGCAAACATTATCTGGATCTTTGCCCACCTGTATCTCTCGTCAGAGCATCATCTTAAAATTAATTGTGACAAGATCACTTGTATATAAACTTGTTTCTGGCACATCAGCTTTGTTCTAATAAATACAATTAAGAACACTTACAGTGCTTCAGTCATCCAGTAAAATACTGAATTTACATCAGAAAACCAGAGCATGGGTGGTCCCTTCACTTCCCAGCAGTTTACCTGGCATATTTGTGGGATAACTAGAGTATGGGTGGGGTTGCGGTTGTAGGGCTGAGAAGAAGAAATTTATTCCGACATAAGCTAGGGCAGCCAAGCCTAATTTCCTCTGATTCTATGTCATGAATGGGCTTATTACAAAACAGTGAAAAAGCAATTTTTTTAATAATCTGAATAATCAGAGATATGGGTGGGCTTATTACAAGACATGGACTTATAACTGTATAAATACAGTAATAATTCTACTAAACAGCAAATATGGGTGGGCTTATTACCGGACATGGACTTGTTACTGGATAAATACAGTAATAATTCTACTAAACAGCAGTAGATATTGGTGGGCTTATTATCAGACATGGATATATTACTTGATGAATACATTAATAATTCTACTAAACAGAAGTAGACATGGACTTATTACTGGATAAATACAGTAATAATTCTACTAAACAGCAGTAGATATTGGTGGGCTTATTATCAGACATGGATATATTACTTGATGAATACATTAATAATTCTACTAAACAGAAGTAGACATGGACTTATTACTGGATAAATACAGTAATAATTCTACTAAACAGCAGTAGATATGGGTGGGCTTATTATCAGATATGGATGTTTTTACTGGAGAAATGTAGTCAAATTCATTCAGACTCGCAAAGAAAAAGGTTTGCAAGAGGGAAGACGGCCCTAACTTCGTAGGTAGAATATATCCCTCCCACTTGTTTCCAAAGAGAACTTGTTGATAGATTCTGGATAAGTAGATCATGGTACCACACAACTGATTCACTCAGACATTGTGTTAACAGTATTCTCTGTCACTTGGTTTCAATTCAATTTGTGTAAATTATTCCCTTTCAATTTGTTTCAATTTATTTACCAGCCCACTTGACACAGTTAAACGGTCGAATGTAATAAAGCAATACTCTCGTCTCTCTTCACAAACTCAGACAAAGTAATTTCCGGGATAAGAAATTGAAAATTAAAATTGCAAATACAGTTGTATCCTTTACATTGATATGCGTTATACAGCTATCATGTTCATGTCTCGTGTAAGGTGAAGACATTCCACATGATTACAAATGCTACAAAAACAAATAAAAAATACAATTTCACATAATTGTTTCACTTTTAATTTTTTAACACTATTATAAATTGCACAATATTTGCCAAAAACTCGAAAATTTACTTCCTGAAACCCCAAAAACTCCAAGGATACATAATACTTTTAAACACTACTGAAAAGAAATATTCACATTGTATAAAAAATCTTTATGAATGGAAGGTAAGCCAACACTGTTATACAGTTTAGCCTTTACTTCTATACATACCTTGTTGTTGTTGTTCTAACTCATTAAAATCATCATAACCATTTCTGTTTTTAAATTACCCGCGTTACGTACTAAAAATTTCACCTCTCCCAAACCTACCATATGCCATGTCCGGGGCCTAATCAAGGGGCCTCGCTTTGTTTACAACACAATGGAGACTTTACCACTTCCGGAAGGAAGTACACAGTTTTAAAGTTTACAACTGGAGTTTTTAGTACGAATATGTGTACATAACTAAGATGACAGTGTAACAATGGAGGCACACGATTATTTACCTTTAGCAGACGACCATCACAGGTATGTAAACACATTAGTTCACATGCTATCCGCGTTAGCTGATGACGGGGGTCAATAATATGTTACAGGATTTCAACTATGTTTTGTTCAGCTGTTATTTCACGGATCGACATGCTTTTCCAGCTGTTTGAAATACTGACTCTGTTCATGCATACATGATATTCGTGTATGAATTCAATAAGTAGGTCGATGTGTGTTGTAAGCTGACTTTCATTAAATCTGGAAGTGTCAACATCTGCCAAACCCGATATAGAATACCAGACGACAAGCATCCATCAATGACATATTGACACACGCGAGTTTACGGTGTACATTTCTAAACCACAGACACGTATGTACAGATCCAATATCAATATTCAACAAATATTTAGATCCGTATATTTATTATTTCATTTATTATTCAGGAGTCGTGAAGAAGTGTATAGCGTAAAATTGGACATACATATATATTCAGTGCACCTGTTCAAATCCGTCATCTTTATGGTCCCTCCCTACAACATCCCCACCCAAATGGTCTGTTATGTTTCATTAGTGCTGTTCCATGTAATCTTATTGCTTTTACATAGGATATGACAGCAATTTTCGGGACTCAAAAATATTTGAGTCCCGGACTTGTGCTTAATTAATTCCAGTGGGACTCTCAGGTTTTGAGAACCCTCCATATCTCTTTGTGACTAGATTCATCAAAATTTTGGAAATGGCGCTCAGGAACTACCAGAAGAAATATCACAAAAAATCACAAATGTTATATGAATACTGTTACATAGATATACACACCTGCATGAAAGTCATGATTGCATTTATCACTTTAAACTGAGATGTTCAATGGTTGAAATTTGATAATCTGATTTAAAATGTTTAATACAGTTCAGTTTTATGTACAATTATTTAGCATGATTAAAAAATATTTGAGTCAGCCTACTCAGCCTATAACAAATTTCAGTCTGTGCTTGGTAACACATGATGTGGTTTTAATAATAGAACATTTGTAGCTACCATATAATATAAATGGTTTTACACCTGACTGTCAGTTAACAAATTTATACACAAGATATTTTTTTAAAATTTTTATATGATACAAAGATTTGCTAATCAGACAGAAAAGCCACAATTACAAATGGGACTGTCAGTGAATCATAAAGCCTTGTTTCCAGCCATTGGAAGGAATGCTTACATGTGGAGATTGATTTTGTAGTTACATTGAAATATATATGTATTTCTCACACATCCCACAGGAGTAAATTGTTTGAATAATGAGAGAAACTGCCATGCACTTGTTCCAATAGTAAGAATTCAAACATTAAACATTAACTTGTTAAAAATTTTTGAACTTTTAAGAAACAAGTTTTATTAACTCCCACACATTTTGATTTCCATCTGGGGAATGAAACTTTGATTGCCTAGTCTTGGTGATATGATCTAACTGCTATGTCACCCAACACAGAGATTTGTTCTGAGAGATAAAAGGTATCTTGATGAATGTAATTTGTCATTGTTAATGTACATTAGTATTGATTTATCATTGAATAATTAGTTCCTATTTTCTAGTTTTGAATAATTCTCTTTGTATTTACAGGTTGTATGCACCAGAAAACCACACAAGCCGAGAAGGGGAGCCAAGGTAAGATACACTGTAATTTTTGGAAGGGCGGTGTACAAGGGGAGATAATTGAATGTTTACTGATGACATAGCTGAAAAAAAAGTTTAGGTTTGTTTTTGTGGAAACACAAATATTGAGACTTCAGAAAGTTGTAGGAAAGAGATGGATAACGTAACTAGGCAATAATTTTATCAGATATTTGGTATAGCTTTTGATTTATACTGCAGAAATTTAGATAAAGCTTCATAACAAATTATGATGTTATGTCTTATATATGCAATGAAAGAAATTCAATATGAATTTTAAAAAGTTGTATTTGTTTCCAGAGTAAGGATTTTAAAAGTATCTATCAAAATAAGCGCTTATTCATCAGATTTTAAGTAAAATTGACATGCTTGTGTTCCTGATTCAGATAGGAAGGTACATTGTGAGTGTTGACCTTCAGCTCATTTATAACAGTGTGTACATGTAAATACTGGAATGTTTGCCTTTGGTACCACAAACAGGAGTTGGAAAGATATATAAAGAGAATGCATTTTTATGAATGGTCCAGAAACTCCTGTGTGTAGATTCTTTTTGGTGTTGATACAGTGGAAACAGTTTGTTAACACTTTTGTTGCATTTTATAGCCTGTAAAGTTTTCTAACGTAAGAAATGAATGTTTTTGAACATGTAACCTGTGTAAATTGGAAGTTTTTAATTGGATTGATGTTAAATGTTGATAAAAAAGTGTGTAGGATTCATGTAAGATTCCCACGTTGTACACATGTGATGTATGTGTGGGTGGGTGTACAATTTCCAATGGAGTGCTCTGAAATTTGATTATATTGGGTTAGAAATGTATTGGAAGTAATGGCTGTATGAAAGGTAATAAGGTTATATCAATATTTAGTGTTAATGGTATGTTTCCTCCAGAATATCTGCTTTAGCATGATGTTTACATATCCTGTTTACAGTGTATGTAATAGGGACTAGGGAACTGTTAGGGAGAACATTTCATTTTATCTGTATGATTCCTGATTCCATGATGTTATTCATTCTAATCATGAAAAAATATCCGTATAACACTACTCAAGTTGTATGGTAATCTATTTTGTATACATACCATTTTTATATCAATACTAATATAATGTATAATGTTCAAAATATCAAAACATTAACACAATGCATCACATACAGTAATGTTGTTGATCCTAAGGTACCAGATTTAAATTACCTGTTGTAATTGTACCTGAGTTTCACATGTGTTTTTTGTACAATTTATATCCTGTATGTATTTACATTGTGATCCAGGTGTTCATATCAGGTGATTAGAAAATTTGCAACTATGATCTTGTCCAGAAAATTCAAACTACCAAACCTTCCTTTTTTGGATCCATGTCAGACTCCCCTTCCCCCAACCCCCTCAGATTCCCCCTCCCCCAATCCCCTTAGACTCCTTCCTCCGATTCCCCCTCCCCCGATCCCCTCAGACTCTCCCTCCCCCAATCCCCTTAGACTCCTCCCTCAGATTCCCCCTCCCCCGATCCCCTCAGACTCCCCCTCCCCCAATCCCCTCAGACTCCCCCCTCAGACTCCCACTCCCCCGATCCCCTCAGACTCCCCCCTCAGACTCCCACTCCCCCGATCCCCTCAGACTCCCCCCTCAGATTCCCCCTCCCCCAATCCCCTCAGACTCCTCCCTCAGACTCCCCCTCCCCCAATCCCCTTAGACTCCTCCCTCAGACTCCCCCTCCCCCAATCCCATCAGACTCCTCCCTCAGATTCCCCCTCCCCCGATCCCCTCAGACTCCCCCTCCCCCAATCCCCTCAGACTCCCCCCTCAGACTCCCACTCCCCCGATCCCCTCAGACTCCCCCCTCAGACTCCCACTCCCCCGATCCCCTCAGACTCCCCCCTCAGATTCCCCCTCCCCCAATCCCCTCAGACTCCTCCCTCAGACTCCCCCTCCCCCAATCCCCTTAGACTCCTCCCTCAGACTCCCCCTCCCCCAATCCCATCAGACTCCCCCTCCCCCAATCCCCTCAGACTCCCCCTCCCCCAATCCCCTCAGACTCCCCCCTCAGACTCCCACTCTCCCAACCATCAATTTAACTAATTAGGTACATAGTGTATTACAATATGCGCCCACATGGGGTAAAGTATATTGTATTAAATTGTACTTTAGCAAAATACTGTAAAATGTCAGGATATTTATATTAGGAAGCAGAAGAAGGGGTTGTAATTTAAAATGCAATGTAATCACACTGTTCTATTATAAGGTTCTATGGTTTAACAGTTACCACCTATTAATTCACCTGTGAAAATTCAATGTTGTTGCCAGATTTTGCCTGACATAATTAACCTGACCTAACATCATAAATTATGTCATTATCACACATGATTTGCCTGTCTTTTCATATTATCTGGACATCCCCTTGATCGTGGTCGATCATGTTCTTGTCAGGTTACAATATCATTGTTATTAGATGATTTTATACGATAACAAACTCACTTGTTTATTATCAACTTTATTTATTGTTCAACAATTGTGAAACAGTTGACTTATATAAATCACACTTGTTGGCCCTGATGTAAGTGAGTGATGGGTCTTACTGTGGGGGAAGAATAACAGATAAAGAATGTACCCATGGAAAACTTACGTGGTCTGGCAGGTGACATCCCCTCCCCCTATCATCCATTCTGGTAATCAAACCCTGGATATCTAGATGGAAGGTGAGTGCGTTACCACTGTGCCACCTGATCACCCCAGCTCGTCTTGAGATGGACACTTGTATAATTAAGATTGTCTGCATTATGTGTGAATTTCATTTCATCAGAAAGGGTTTGATGTTGTTGCAAAGTTAGCAGGTGAAGAAGTACATGGCAAAACAAAAAAATCACAGATACGCATTAAAAAAAATTGTTGTGAGAGGGAAGGAGTGAACTGCAGCCTCAATTTATTCTGCGAAAGTGAAGATAACTGTTGTGAAAAAAATTCATGATCATGAAATGATGACATAAGAAGTGGATTTGACATTTATTCGTCTCTACTTTTATAATGGCAGGGAGCCCATGGCAGATTTTCAGTTTCTTTTTTGGATATGGTAGCTGATATCAGATTCCCAGCCTTTAAATTTTGTTTTTGTAAAATTTGCCTTCTATGTATACTCTTAGATGTCTGAGTTCTCACCATATCTCCCAATCCACAGTCTCCTGTGGTTGGTGACCTTCCTCATTCCACTCTAGGCTTTAACTAAATTACTTCTGCAGTATTCCTTTTGATGCCAGTCCCTTAAACAATGATGGGGCTGGAAATAATAGAGATGGAGAACCAAATTCCAGTCAGGGGATCGGTGTTTTATCACAGATTTTTTTGATAGAAAGTGCAGAAAATGTTTTTGAGGTAAAAAAACAAGGGAGGTAACTTTTGTTCCTCAGTCAGGTCAGGAGTTCTTTTCAGGAATTGTTTCACAATTTATGAACAGGATTATTTTTTCTGTTCAACAGGTTTCTTTTTTTCCATTTAATTTTGAGTTGTAATGAGAAACTAGATATCATATCAAAGCAATCATTTAAATAAGACTTCATTAGGTTCCAGTCTATCAAATAACCAGCATGTATCATATATCCTTTAGCTAAATCATCGGGAACTTTCTGTTTCCCTGATACAGTCTCGACTTTAATCACTCTTATGGAAACAAGATGTGTCAGATCATGCAGGAAATTTATGCCTGGAAGTTAAACACAGCATATCTTGTGTGTAACCCTAAACCTGCAACATGAAAAACAAACATTACATTAAATTTCTTTACTTCACTTACTATGAACATGCAAGTATTCCTATGCATGATTGCATGAGTGAGTATGGCATATTCCATGCATTCATGTATTTGTATGTGCCATGCATCATTGCACAATTGCTTGCGACATGCATAGCACTCAGCTTTAACAGTCATCAATGCAGTAAAGTATGGAATTGAAGCCAACAGTGAACACTCCCATATCAGATAAACTTCTCACGTTTCCAGTTTCTCTCAGTTTTTATGTTGTGGCATAAAATAAATTGTATTAAATTGAAAAAGATTGTAATATTTAAAAAAAGTAATGAAAATTTCAACATGTTTGAAAGCTTCCTGAAAATTTGATTGAATTTCTTCATGGAGAGTGAAATTAAATAAGGTTTTATGAATAATTTCATCAACAAGGAACAGTTCGTTAATAAAAGAAATAAATGTTGCATGTATATGTCTAAAGATGTGAAAGAAATTATTTTCAATTTCTTAAACTAAATCTATTTTGATAATTGAAAAAAATAAGATCTATTAGGAAATGAAGGTTGGAGTATTATAACAAAGGGAATTATCTGAAATATGAAGTGCAAAATAAATCTCCACATGCTTACTTGAGACACAAAGTAAAGGATGATATATAATCATGATATATGATAAACTGGTCAGATGTTGTAGGAATGTACATAGCAATGCTGAAATGTATAAACAGATACACACACAGCTGTCCCAGTACAGGTGATACAGATCGCAAAAAAGGAAATGATTGATGATATTCAAAAATTCTGTATAGTTATATTTATTGATTTGGGCAACATATATAAGCTGAAAGCATTCAAATGACAAATACAATGCGCTATTATTTCATACAAAGCTCCCCACGGTAACATATTGCAAGGATCAGCTGGTTTCTCAGTAAGAGGGGTGGTACTGCTTTGTGAAATGTGGTATTAAATTGGGGTGGGCATTCAAGTGTGACTCCTAGAGGCTATTGTGTCATTGTGTCACACATGGCAGGTGATGAGGAGCGCTTGTCGTTGGCTGGTTACAGAGGCTGGAGCAACAGTATGATGGTTTGGTGAGAGCTGTGTAGAGGCAGTATCAGGAGTGTATTATATAGGCAGCAGTGTGTTAGACAAAACACATTTACACATCGACAGAATCCATTGTTTTAGAGATCAACAGGAGCTTACACTATATACTACTCAATCTTACTAATTACAGGAAATTAATTAACTCCTTACACCACC